GTCCCCATTCTTCCTTCCAACCACCAGTCTTCTTGAACAAGTTGTTTATACTTACTACCCGCCCTTCCTCACTTCCTATTCACTCTTCAACCAGCTGTTACCTGACTTTTATTCCTAAAACTGCTTACACCAAGCTCACCAAAAGACTTCTGCACTGCCAAATCCAACAAACTTTGTAAGAAATCTGTTGTTTTGGCCTTCTGACAATAATATCCTGCCTTTGCTTTGGAGATCTTCTCTGTCCCATTCCTGAAATCTGATGGGACCATCAAACACGGGCTCACCTCTGGGGTGGGCATGCGGCTAACTACGAAGACCCCCTGCACAAGCAGGAAAGCTTGCTGAGGCTGAGTTAGCCCCATGGATCCTTGTGATCCTGGGAGCTTCTGTTTTCCTGGCCTTCCCAAGGCTTCAGTATTCTATCTTCCTTTCTTTCTGTGAGTTTATCCAGTATCCATTTGCTGCTTAAGTTAGCCAAATTCAATTTCTATGGTTTATAATCAAAGAGAAATTGGTCCCTCAATTGACACAAAGGTAGATAGTAGTGACACCACAAATTTCTTCTCCCTGTCTCCTTCACTTTGGTTTCTGCTGTTTATGGAATTCCTGAGAACTCTTCATTATCCTCTTTAAAGCTTTCTCTGACCCCTAGAGCAGTGGTCCCAACCTTTTTGGCACCAGGGACTGGTTTCGTGGAAGACAATTTTCCCACGGACAGGGAGTGCAGCGGATGGTTTTGGGATGAAACTGTTCCATCTATCTCACGCATTAGATTCTCATAAGGAACGCGCAACCTAGATCCTTTGCATGTGTGGTTCAAAATAGGGCTCGCGCTCCTATGAAAATCTAATACTGCCACTGATCTGACAGGAGGGTAGCTCATCTCCTGCTGTGCGGCCTGGTTCCTAATAGGCCATTTGGGGACCCCTGCCTTAGAGGTTAGACTAAAACCCTTCTTCATACTCCCAAACATCCTAATACTCCACAATGTCTTAACATGAAATACAATCTGTATACTTACTAGTTTTCACCACCAGACTATAATAAATTTCATGTTTGTATCCTCAACAATTAGCACTCAGTAATTGAGTAATAAATGTCTGCTGAAAGAAAATCTTATCTTTCCTTTTTTTTGTATTAATCATTACATCATATATTTTATGTACTTATGTTTAATTTGGCATCTAATGAATACTCCATTGAGTTCCTTAAACAATCCTCCCAATAAGTCTAAAAAGTTCTTATGAGCCGAGACCACCACTTACTATTTCTGTATTCTCTTTAGCACCTAACAGCGTTGGGCACATAGTAAATAGCCAATAAATACTTGGTGAACTGAATTAAAAACACAGTATTAGCACACTAATAGAAACAACTTATTATGCCCTACTGATCTAATTAAAAGATCCGGCCTTCTGAAGTAGTGCAGTTGTCCCCATATGGAAATTTTAATAAGAAAAAGAAAAATTATCCAATTGGACAGTTAACCACGTTTCTCTTAGCAAGAGTTCCATAAGTATTTTATGAATAATAAGTGTACACCTTTACAGCACAGAGTAAAAGACTCAAGACACATATATGCCTGTGCATAATGGAAGGAAGTTTACATATTTAAGGGGTCTGTCACAACTACAATCACTTAGATTCTACTAACCTTTAACAAATCTATAATGGGAGTATAGGACATAAAATAGTTAATAGCAAAATCAATTGATGCCAAATCAACTTATGTTCAAGATGTATATGGCTATCTTTTTATAATATATAACATGGCAGTCATTTACTCATTCAAGAACATTTATTAACCGCCTAGTAATCACAAATGCAATGTTAGGTCCTAAGAATACAAAGATAAAACAGTTCCTATGTTGGTGGAGCTCTATTTCTGCCATGTTGCAATGGTATTCAAGAATATGTGAATGGTACCCCCTGGAGTTGCTCAACATGGAGGCCCTGGTTAGCAGTATGGTGGGGAAGGCACGAAAACACATACTTATGGCAATGTGCTAAGTGCTAACACAGAAACAAGTACAAACTGTTATGGGGCCATGGAAGATAAATAACCTACTAATGAAATCAAGAAAAGATATGAAAAAAAAAAAAAAACAGATGTCTATAGATGTCTATACATGAATTCAATGCTAGTTAAGGTATGAGGAAGCTACTAACATACATCAGATGAAATCAAACCTAAAACTATGGTTGCAGGAAGAGTCAGAAGGGTTCCAAACCAAACCAGTCCAACTTAAAGAAAACCACTGCAGAAGAGATGAAAAATAAAATATTCCTTATCATTACATTTGAGAACAATGAAACACACAGAACTTAAACTGCCACATACTGTAAGCCTAAAGAGAATCTTTTAAACATGTAGCATAGAAGTTCAAAGGCAGTCGATCACTAAGAACTAGAGTAAGCTGCCCAGAAAACTTTCATAAAAGTGTAATTAGAACTATTGTTGGCAGGAGGGAGGAATAGAGTAAAGGTGTCCATATCCTGAGAAAGGTCAACATCTTTAGCAAAAGCAGTGGGGGGAAAGTTGGACACATGAGTGAAGCCTGATTTAGAAAAGCCCAGAACACAAGCTTAGCTTTTGGACACTGTTCTAGTCTCATGGGAGTTCTTAGCCAGGGCTACTGAACAGAATCACCTGGAGAGCTTTAAAAAATATGCCCAAGGCAGAGCTTTACTCCAGATCAAAAATAAGAGAATTTCTGGGGGAAGTGGCCTGGGCATTAAAACTTAAAGACACACAAGGTGATGCTCATGTACAGTCTGAATTGAGAACCACTGGGCTAGAGAACAGAGAGGTAAAGCATGACAGATATGACTAAGGCTCAAGATTGATTTAAGACCCTGTTTATAAGCAACAAATTTGAGCTGATAACCTGTTGAAGCTTATCTTCTAACCTGAGTTAAAAATTCTCAGTTTTCTTAGTGTTTCTTTTCCCTTGTTGACAAAGCTAAGCTCTGAAAATAGGAAAAGTACCCATCAATTTCTCATACATGACTGGTTCATTGAGTGTAAGGTCTACAACTTTAGAATTTTACTTCCATGATGTTCCATAGACGACTAACCTAGCAAATAAGTACTTCAATTCTAAGCTGCTCTTATATCCCTGCAATGCACTCCTTTTATATTAGAGAATGTTCTAGGCTGCTTCCAGATTTTGCAAAACTCCTAAATACAGAGAGATCCCAATACCTACGTACATCTAAGTCTTTTAGCTTAGACCAGGTGTGTCCAATCTTTTGACTTCCCTGGGCCACTTGGGAAGAAGAATTGTTTTGGGCCACCCATAAAATACACTAACACTAATGATAGCTGATGAGCTTCAGTAAATAAATAAATAAATATCACACACAAAAATCTCATAATGTTTTAAGAAATTTTACAAATTTGAGGCCGGGAGCGGCGGCTCATGCCTGTAATCCCAGAATTTTCGGAAACCGAAGCAGGTGCATCACCTGAGGTCAGGAGTGTAAGACCAGCCTGGCCAACACGGAGAAACCCTGTCTCTACTGGAAAAAAAAAAAATAGTTGGGCTGGTGGCGTGCGCCTGTAATCCCAGCTACTCAGGAGGCAGATGCAGGAGAATTGCTTGAACCCAGGAGGCGGAGGTTGCAGTAAACTGAGATAACACCACTGCACTCCAGCCTAGCCGACAGAGCGAGACTCCGTCTCAAAAAAAAAAATAAAAGAAAGTTTGCGAATTTGTCTTCTTGTCTTGGGCTACATTAAAAGCCATCCTCAGACGCGGGTTGGACAAGCTTGGCTTAGACTAAAGCAAAACTGCTTTAAGATTAAGTATTCATTCTTGCATGGATACATTACTTCTGCTTTCAGAAGTGCCATTACAATGTATTTTACTTATTTTGTAACAAATACTTTGAGTATAAAGAGAAACAACACATGTATCCCAAACAATAACTCTATACTATGTTATTAAACAAGAGTCCTGTGAGGGAGAAAACAGTCATCAAGGTGAATGGAGAGTAGGACAGCCTGTTGATCCTTTAAAAAGTAAGTTTGTCTGTTTGGTTTTCTTTACAAAAGAGCAAACCTGAATATGTTTCAGGATCCACGTTACTCACCGTAAGATTTATTCAAGAAATCTGTACGTTGTTTATAGGTAAGGAAATGTCTTCTTTACCTACACAGTTGGCCACGAGTGTCTTGTTTTGTGTGGTGTTAGGTTACTGTATCTACTTGATGGTAAAAATGTTATGAGAACGGAAGTTGAAATTCTGCACTTTGGTTTATGCAGTCTCTTATTTCCAGATAAAGTTAATAAACGCAAAGGACCATATCCCAATGTAACGGGGAGGGTTGGGAGGACAAGCTTCAAGAACGAGTGGGGTGAATTCAACTATCAAAATTGTAAACATGAACAAGAGCCCAGGAATCTTATATTTCATCCGGATACAAGAAAGTAGATTTCAAGAGTTGGTCATTCACTTGCACTGCTTCTATTCAGAAAGCAAAAGAAAGGCTTCTAAAAAGAAAACACAAGCCTAACAGAGAGGTGAGAGGGAAACAGCAAGCCACATGAGTCTGACGAACGGGTACGAAAGAAATTCAGAGGGCAAGCAAAGAAGGGGAATGAAGAAGACAGGAAAAGGTGAAGGAGGCGAGCAAAGGCCATCTGGTGTGAACCTGGCTGCCCAGCTCTTTATGCACTCAGGGCAGCGTGGGGCCCCTCTCGCCCCGAGCGCATCTACGAGTTGGGGCGCAGTGCGAGCCCCCCACGGGCCTGGCAGCCGGGGACACAGGGCGGGCGGGAGAAGAGGGGTGCGCACGCCGCGGACGCTGGCACCCCACGAGGTGCTGCACGCAGGGGTCCCCAGGAAGGAGGCGCACTTTAGCGCAGCCCTGGCCTCTGGGAGCAGGAAGGGGGTGGGTGGAGCTGAGCCCGGGGCCGCCCCCCGGAGCCGCCCCCGCAGCCCCGGCCCCCGCCCCCCGCCCCGGCTGTCAGTGGCCCCCTCCCGCAGTCACTTACCCGCCGGCTGCGCGGTCTCGGCCGCGGTGGCGGCGGGGACGGCGAAGACCCCCGCCTGGGTCATGATCCCAGGAGGGGAAGGCAGGAGTGTCTGACCGTCTGGACGAATCTCTCCGTCCGCGGCCGCCGCCTGCTCCTCCGGGGCTGGGGGAGCGCGGGCCCAGGCCCTCCTCTCCCCCCGCCCCCGCCGCCTCTTTTTACGGCCACCGCCGCCGCTGCGAGCCCGAGCCCTCAAGGCCGGAGACCCGGCAGCAGCGCGGCCTCAACTTTCCCAGCCCCCCTCCCCCCGCCCTTCCCCGCCCCTCCCGCGGCCGCAGCTCGGCAAGCGAACAGCCTACCCTGGGCGCGCCGCCTTCCCGCCTCTGTCACTCAGCCCGCCAATCAGGCTGCGGGAACGCTGCCATGATAGCCAATAAGAAGACAGAATACCGTAGCGCTAGGCTTAGAGGGCGGGAGGAGGCGGAGAGAAAACCAAGGAGTGAACGGAGTTCGGGCGGCCCAATGAGGAGGGCCGGGGGGCGGAGGTGTGCAAGTTGGGTTGAAGGAACAGGAAATATTCTTAAAGGTAGAGTGACGGACAGGAAGGAAAGCCAGTAGATGAATGGGAAAGAGGTGGGCCTGGTTCCTTAAAGGGGACGCCTTGAGAACCTAGAAAAGAAGGTGTTCTACGAAACTTCTTTCTGCCTTGTTCTGTGGTCTCTTTTCTTCGTCTTTCAGTAGGAGTTTGGAAGTGGAAAAATTGAAAAGAAAGGGGGCAAGGAAGTCTTTCGGAATAGCCCCTCTTAACGTGGAGGGCAGGGAGGCAAGAAGATACCTCTTAGTAAATGTGAGGAAGAAAGAGAATCAGACGTCTCCGACTTCTCGATAACTGGAAGATTGTTGCTGACTTGACGTTGCTCGCATTCGTAGGCTGTGGTCTCTTGTCATCCTTTATTTGCAGCAACACACAGATTTCTGCGAACTGGAGATGGCCATGTTCAGAAATGCCCTGGGGGCCTCCCAGCTGGGACAAGGGAGTTTGGCATTGGGGGATGGGGTTTGAAATCTCAAGCCTGGGTTACTAAAGACCTGGATCTAGCAGAAGTAGGGCTACGGGTCACGAATTGGAGACCTGAGTGCCCCTTAACTCCAAGATGGGTGTGGAGCCCTTGGAACCGTGATCACAACTCCCTTTCCCTAGTTTCGCTTCATATTTTATAACCCCCTCCTGAAACAGGTGTCCTCCACCTGGTTGTGGTTATAGATTTCCAAGCCCTTCCACAACCAGATTTGGAAATATCCCAGATCTTTGCTGTCCATGGGCTAACTTCTGTCCATGGGCTAACTTCCAGATCAGGTAACTTCCAGAAGGTGCACACAGGGCATGGCATAATGGGAATTACTTGAGCCTGTATACTGAAGCAGCAGAAATCGCATTGAGCAAAAGGGTAAAGGTTAACAGTAACGGAGTCTTATGTTTGTACAGTGGATTGAAAAGCTATGATGAAACGGAAGGCCTGTAGTGTTGCTTATAAACTGGGGTACTAATAAACAGGCTAGAAATCTTTAACTCATCCATCTAGGCACACGAAGTTCGAATTAGCCTTTGAACAGACTTGGCACATCCAAATCAAAGCTGCAGATAAGAAAGATTCTACGAGTCAGAGCCATAATAACAATGCTAATAACATCACCATAAAATTGTATAGTATTGGTATGCTCAGCCATAGGAAACAATTTCCAATGTGTTCAGGCATTTCCCGTTAACAAATATATCTAGGGTATGCATGATTTCCTAAACAACTGCAATGCATCAATTCTAAAGTAAAGCCACACAAATAGTTTTGATGAATCATGAAACAGAATTTAACCGTTTCTTTAGATCACCTTTAAAAATACACATTAATATATTTCTGGCACGATATAGACATAGAAAAGAAGAGCAATTTCTGTTTGATAAAGATCACAATATTAGCTTTTTAAATTAATCCTTATTTCCTAAGTGCAGCCTTTCTCCTTTCTTTTCTCTTTTTTCTTTTTCTTTTCCTTTCCTTCCCTTTCCCTTTCCCTCTCCCTTTTCCTTTCCCTTTCCCTTTTCCTTTCCTTTCCTTTCCTTTCCTTTCCTTTATTTTCCTTTCCTTTGTTTTCTTTGTTTTCTTTTTTCCTGCGACAGGGTCTCCCTCTGTTGCCAAGGCTGAAGGTCAGTGACACTGTTAACAGCTCACTGCAGCCTCCACCTCCCAAACTCAAACGATCCTCCCACCTCAGCCTCCTGAGTAGCTGGAACCACATGCCCGGCAGTTTTCTTTTGGGTAGAGATGGGGGTCACATTATGTTGCCCAGGTTGGTCTTCAACTCCTGGGCTGAAGCCCAGAATCTTTTTCTTGGCTTTACCCATTCAACATCCGTTTCAGATAATCACACCAGTCCTATTTTCGAACTAGCTGGCAGTGCTTCAGTGACCTATATTGGTGGTAAAATATACTGGCCAAGTGAAACTGGTGTATAGGGCTGTTAGTTCATTTTTTTTCAAGTGGACAGAATGAATCTGATTTTCACCCACATTCTTGAGACTTTTCAATGGTGCTGAAAGACTATTTGCATGATACATAAGCACTTCCTTGCATCCCCAGTTTCATATCAAGACCTCCGTTTTTTCCTACTACTAGAGATGACTGACTGCGGGAAGAGGCCACTGAGAGCCTGGGGCGGTGACCAAGGCTGCGGGGAGGCCCCGGACTCAGCTCCACCCACCTCCATCCTGCTCCAGGAGGCAAGAACTGCGCAAAGTGCGCCTCCTTCCTAGGGATCTCTGTGTGTGGTACCTGGGGGGTGCCAGCGCCCATGGGGTGCGCACCCTTCTTTTCCCCGCCCGCCCCGCGTCCCCGGTTGCCAGGCCCGTAGATGCGCGCGGGGCGACAGGGCTCCCATGCTGCCCTGAGTGCATAAAGAGCTGGGCAGCCAGGTTTACACCAGGTGGCCTTTGCCCGGCCAGTCTGGTCTCGAACTCCTGACCTCAGGCAATCTGCCCGCCTCGGCCTCCTGAAGTGCTGATTTCAGATTTCAGACGTGAGCCACAGCGCCCGGCGGCCTTTTTTTTTTCCCGCCTCCTTCTTTGAGATGGGGTCTTGCTCTGTCGCCCGGGCTGGAGTGCAGTGGCGCGATCTCGGCTCACTGCAACTTCCACCTCCCGGGTTCCAGTGATTCTCCTGCCTCAGCCTCCCAGTAGCTGGGACTACAGGCGTGCGCCACCACGCCCAGCTAATTTTTTGTTATTGTATGTTTTACTAGAGACCACCATAATGGTCAGGTTGGTCTCGAACTCCTAACCTCGTGATCTGCCCACCTTGGCCTCCCAAAGTGCTGGGATTACAGGCGTGAGCCACGGGCGCCCGGTCGCTTTTTAACTCTCACTTCTCTGTCGAAGTGTTAGGCTTGTGTTTTCTCTTTAGAAGCCATTCTTTTGCTTTCCGAATAGAGTAAGTGAATGGCCAGCTCTCTTTTTTAAATTATTTTTTTAGAGATTCTCACCCTGTCGCCCAGACTGAAGTGCAATGGTGTGATCATAGCTCACTGCAACCTCAACTCTTGGGCTCAAGGGATCAGCCTCAGTCTCCCAAGTAGCTAGGACTACAGGCACTTGCCGCCACACCTGGCTAATTAAAAAAAAAAAAAAAAAAAAAAAAAAAAAAAAATTGTAGAGACCAGGTCTCACTATGTTCCACAGGCTGGTCTTGAACTCCTGGCCTAAAGGAGTCCTTTCTTCTGGCCCTCCCAAACGACTAGAATTATAGGCATGAGCAAAACCACTCCGGCCTAAATGGCCAGCTCTTGAAATCTACTTCCATATTTCCCAAAAGAAACTGCCCAACTTTTACCCAATGCAGTCATAACACTTGTTTCCACATTCCCAGTGGCAGTATATGTGAGCTCCAGATATTCCACAGCATGGCCAACACTTGATATTGTCACTCTTTTTAATTCTAGCCATTATAGTGAGTGTAAATGGTATCTCATTGTGATTTTAATTTCCATTTCTTGGCCAGGCGTGGTGGCTCACACCTGTAATCCTAGCACTTTGGGAGGCCGAGGCTGGCAGATCACCTGAGGTCAGGAGTTCGAGACCAGCCTGGCAACATGGTGAAACCCCGTACCTACTAAAAATACAAAAATTTGCCAGGCATGGTGGTAGGCACCTGTAATTCCAGCTACTTAGGAGGCTGAGGCAGGAGAATCGCTTGAACCTGGGAGGCAGAGACTGCAGTGAGCTGAGACTGCACCATTGCATTCCAGCCTGGTCAACAAGAGCAAAACTCCGTCTCAAAAAATAATAATAACAATTCGCCCATTTAAAAATCAATATGTTTGTCTTTTGAATTGTAAAAATATTTAGGTGCTTTGGATAAAAGTTCTCTTTCAGATATGTGTTGTGCAAATACTTTCACCCAGTCAATAGCTTGCTTTTCATTTGCTTAAGAGTGTCAATAAAAAAAAAAAAAAAAATACAGGCATATCTTAGGGATATTTTGGGTTGGATTCCAGACCACCACTATAAAGAGAATATTACAAAAAAGCAAGTCACACACGTTTTTCGTTTCCAAGTGCATATAAAAGTTATGTTGGGCCAGGCGCTGTGGCTCAGGCCTGTGGATGGCTTGAGCCCAGGACTTTGAGACCAGACTAGGCAACATAGTGAGACCTCATCTCTAAAAAAATGAGGCAAGAAGATCACTTGAGCCTGAGGTTAAGGTTACAATGAGCTGTGATCTCCCTACTGCACTTCTGCCTGGGCAACAGCAGTGAGACCCTGTCTCATTTAAAAAAAAAAAAAAAAAAAAAAAAAAAGTTATGCTTGCCAAGTGCATTGGCTCAAAATTGTAATCTCAACACCTTGGGAGGCTGAGATGGGAGAATCACTTGAGGCCAGGAAATCCAGACCAGCCTGGGTGACAAAAAGAGACCCTGTCTCTACCAACAATAAAAAATTTTAAATTAGCTGGTAGCAAGCACCTACAGCCCCTGCTACTTGGGAGGCTGAGGTGGGAGGATTGCTGGCGCCCAGGAGTTTGGGGCTTTGATGAGTTATGATCATGCCCCTGTACTCAAGCCTAGGCAACAGAGTGAGACCCCATCTGTTAAATAAATAGATAAAATTTTAAATTTAAAATGTTTTAAATTTAATTAAAATTGGAGTCAGTCTTCTCAAACCCTGTTACTGCTTTATCAAATAAGTTTATGTACTATTCTAAATCCTTTTATATAATTTCAACAGTGTTCACAGCATCTTCACCAGGAGTACTTTCTATCTCATGAAACTACTTTCTTTGCTC